GAAGTGAAACACAATTCAACGGCCAAAAGCATCAAGCAGCCGATAACATGACATGTTAACAACACAGCCTCACCGTGAATTACAGACATTTGCATTTTCGTTCTACTAGGAAGCTCTTCTCATGAAATGTTTTATGAGTATTTAGACGTCACTGAATTTGACGGCTCTTAGTTTTCATGGGGAAAAGTTTGGTGTGTAAGCACGAATTGAACCCAAACAAAGTTTATCATCCGTAATTAAAACCCCTTACCGTGCCATAATAGCTGAGAAAGTGGAATTTTACAAAAGTGCTTAATGCTTCACAAACGTGATTTTCGATCGACCGGCTTCCCCAACATCCCACAAGAACAGTGACCAACTAGAATCTTGAGCATAGTTGTATCTAAGGTCCGAAATCCGTTTCTCGAATAACTCAATTCTGCCTTGTTGTGACAGCAGTTCTAATTGATTATACATGTTAAGTCGTATTCATTAGTATGTCTAGGATTCTTGACATTGATGATCGAGAAAGCAATACATTTGTTACGGGAATGGCTTGTTTAGGTGTACAATAGTACTGTATTAGTTGCCATAAAAGCTAAGTAGTATTAATTATGCTGTCCCACTATGTTTTGTTTAATAACGCGATTGAGAGCAACCAAAAAATGACATCAAGTCCATTTTGACGAGTGAAACGTACGCACAAATTACCAAGGAGATATTACAGTATGTGTCATGGTTGTAAGACGAAGAAATGCTAGGTAACATATGCTAGGTGTCGCTATGCTGAATCGTTAACATACCATAACAAAAGTCAAGGACTAACAAAAACGACAAATGGGACCAACCAAACCTAGAAATCCGGAGTTAAATTGTAGTTGCTGAAGCGTTTTCGGAAACAATGCACATAAGTCTGAGACAAATGAAGTAAGCCATCTTAATCGCAACTGAGTTTAGAAAATAAAACAACAGATGACCCTTTTTCAAAAATTGTATACAAGTGGATCTAGCAAGCAAACGACTTGCAAGTCAGCGCGGTCTCAATCACATTACTTTGATGTGCCTACCGTTACAAGCCTAAGATGTCTAGTAATTAGTCTAAGGGTTGTGTATCGTTACAGAAACCGAACTCAATGCGATGCTAAATTTCCTTAGTCCCACTAACTTACATAAGACAACGTAGTAACATTTCATTTTGAAAGTCTGTTGAACCAGTGGATGTAATTATCGATCAGTCGCATACCGTAGATGTGACATGACTTTGTCCTTACTAATAAATTTGACACGTGGACACAAACAACCGGCTTGAATATGATACGTGGAAAGTACACAGCCTCGAGTTTTAAATAGTGAAATCTAATTCTTGTAACTGCATCAAGATATTCCCAGAGAAATACTAATCAACAACAGTATACTTATATTTCTGGAAATTACCCTCAGCAATAACCAAGTATATGTATATTCCTATTCGGCTAAATCGGCTTATAAAATTTAATTACAAGTGAGTTTTAGACCTTATCACGTCTAAAATGTCTTTTATTTCATGTTCTTACATCAAAGTTATGAAGTAATCGACTACACTCGGCGAACATACAAGATTCTGTAGGTAATATTGAACAGAATCGTGTTTCTCGGCCATAAGCGCTCTGCATAAATTTTCCAACAAAAGTATGAACAATTGATTATATTTGACAGATCCATATACCAAGTGGTTAACTCAGTTTTCAAGGAATACAAAGCAAAATGATTTCATAATTTTTTTTTCAAACTGAAATAAAATATGCGCAAAACCTCCTTTATGAGGTTGTAGATCAAAGCATTACATGTTAACTCGAACAAAGTATTACATGCTCAGATTCTCAGTATGAAGAATAGCTTCAAACAACATGAAGTATCTGTCAAATCAAGGACAGATATTAGTAAAACGTCAAGTTTTAGAGTATATAATAGTTAAAGATGATAAACAATGACTACCTAAATGAATATAACCATGACAGTATGAGAACCAGCATATTAAGAGAACTTGGCAATAATTTGAAGAAAAAAAAGGATTAAAGTGGTAAAACGAGAAACTGCACTACTGGTGTGCACTTTCATGACTCAATAAATTATCCCTAAAAGCAACTCTGGCCAAGTAAGCAAACACCAGCAATCTTTAAGTCTACTTCTTAGGCTTTCTCTTCCGTATCTTTCTTCACGTTGTCTACAAAGCATACTAGTGAGCAATGAAAACTAACTAACCATCTCTTTCAGGATCTGACGTCCAAAGAGTTAAATTATCTCGCAATAGTTGCATTATCAAGGTGGAATCTTTGTAGCTTTCTTCTGACAAATGTTCTAGCCTAGAGATTGCATCATCAAATGCTGTTTGTGCAAGACGACATGCTTCGTCTGGATCGTTCATAATTTCGTAGAAATAAACTGAGTAATTGAGAGCTAAGCCCAACCTGATTGGATGGGTCGGGAACAACTGAGTTGCGGCAATTTCAGAAGCTTCTTTGTAGGCCTTGTTACTTTCTTCTGCAGCTTTTTGACGTTGTGGGTCGACTGAGAATTCCGCCATGTAACGGAAATAATCGCCTTTCCTGAAAAAACAAAACATCACGAACACACGCGATTTACATTTTAAGATAAAAGACCTTAGAGTGTGACTTTGTTGCGCTTTCGCTCAACAGCCTTCCGTGTCTAGTAGCAGGGGATCACCAAAACCTCCAGGCAGGAACCTAGGTATATTAACAATAAAAGAGGGAAAAGAAATTGGTAAATCATAGTATGATTCTATCTTTAAGAGTTTATCCAGTTGCCTCTTTAAGGACTCCAGGGAAGTCGCTTGGTCTAGATCGGTGGGCAGCGAATTCCAGCACTTGACAACTCCTAAGCAGTAGAAGTTGTGTCTACAGTCCGTTCTGCTATGTTGTGTCTCCAGTTTCTGGGTGTTACCCCTTAGGTTAGTGTTGGGACTAAACTTTAGTAGGTGTTTAAGAGAATGTCTAGAAGTGTTAAGGATACTGTAAACCATTAGAAGGTCACCTTAAAGACGTCTATACTCTAATGGGTAGAGGTTAAGTGATAAAAATCTGGTTAATATAATCATCAAAACCATGTATTGAAGTAAATGTACAAATGAGCTGTGTTTTTAGTATACATGAACTGTGGCTACCAGTAGGATGCAAGATGTGCATTTCGTCTTATTTAAGATTTAATTACGGAATGTACTTAAATCTCGGTGTCGTTATTCACATTAAGACATAAACCTAGGATCTTTCATTTAAATGAGAACGCGTTATCTACTAAGCTACTGAATCCAGATAGTCACTAGCTTGTTCATTTGGTACGATGTTTATATTATTAATAGTAATAATAATAATTAGTATTTTTCAGCTTAAATTGTTAACTAGCAATTGTAATTTGTTTGAAAACGATCTTTATTTTTCAATTATTTTGCTCATGCACCTTGTAGCATTAGTGTTCTTTCCCTGACTTATATCGACATTAGTGTATTCTTCACTACTTATTCGATTGTGATTTGTGTTGTTTATCACTAACACCTGTTGACCGTTTGTAATTACACAGTATAAAATGATCAGTACGTTACGTTTGTACATTCATGATATGAATGTAAGATAATGTAAAAATCAATTGAGATTACTAATTGTTGTTGATATGTCTTGTTGTTTGAATGCTACTTCGTTATATTTGGTCGTCGCTAATTATTGTGTCAGAAACGCTTATCACTTTTGCTCGAAACAAAGGACCTCTGCAATTACCACGATGCGAAAGTAAGAACACAAATACTGGTATAAGTGGAGATTTATTAACCCCAAAACACAACAACGACGACCCTAGTCGAAAATACACTCATTTATGTATTAATTGTACACCCATTTTGATTAATAATTGGGATGAAATCATAGATTGAGCATAGTTTATGGCAACTGAATACAATAATATTGTATATTATACAGAATCAAATATCATACGAGAAAATGAAACTGAATACTAAAGTGAATAATCATCACAATGAATCAAAACAGAAGTAATATTGAACAAAACTCATAATGAGTAAATCAATCGAAATTTGACTTTTCTTCTCATCATATCAACTTCCCTTCTTTTTTAATTGATACGTTTTCTGTGGAGAGCCTATTTGAAAAGATTGTTCTACTTTATCGTACTTGCTTGGATCTTGACCAACCACGTGGTCGTGTTCCAGTGGGTTTTTCAGCTTCAGCGACCTCTTCCTCAATCAAAAAAAACTGTTCCTTATTACATCAGGAGATGCATCAATTGCCTCGTTAAATCTTTGGGTGCGATTCGGGATTTGATTGTTCGAGCATGTGTTCCTTCAATGCACCTATGATCTTTAATTGAGATTTAATGAACACATCTTCATTAAACTGAAACATTGATTTTACTTCTGCAACTGAAATTGTCATGTTCATACACCAGTAACCGCATCGATTGTTGCAACAGCGACTTGATAAATAAAAGCAGAAGTATGTTTATAACTGAGGAGACAGGATTTGGGGTACGTTAAACTGGCAATCGAGTTATAACTGGAACCAGACAGTTATGTTGGTAACTCAAACTTGTAAATTGAATACGTCGGCGATTGTTGTGGTTTTCATTTTTCCAAAATTTCCGTCGCCAAAATTTTATTGCTTTGATCTTTTCAAAATCCCGTCGCCACTGTCAAAGAACAACCATGACAAGGATCACACGCAGCCATCGTATTCTTCGCATCAAACATTTGCTGCGTCAGTCCAGACACAGTTAATGAGCGATACTGTTGACTGCCACGACTTGTTAGTGGAGCAAATCCTGGCATGAAGAAATGCAGTCGTGGGAACGGGACCATATTCACTGCCAGTTTCCGTAGATCAGCATTCAGTTGTTCAGGGAATCTGAGACAGGTGGTCACTCCAGACATGGTTGCACTGACCAAGTGATTTATATCTCCATAAGTGGGGTTGGTCAATTTGAGTGTTCTGAAACATATGTCATACAGTGCTTCATTGTCGATGCAGATAGTTTCATCAGTGTTCTCAACAAGTTGATGTACAGAGAGTGTAGCATTGTATGGTTCGACAACAGCATCGGAGACTTTGGGCGATGGGACTACAGAAAATGTATTTATAATGCTGTCAGAATATTCTTCTCGAATCTTTGAAATTGACAGCGTCTTCATAGTTCATTATCATCTATGGATATAACTAGTCGGACTTATGCGTCTAATTTGATGAATTCATTATTTAGACTGTATAAATTTAACTTGATCGATATAATTCTTTTGAATGGTAACTGTTTAACGGCTTTCAGGTAAGCTGACCAATTGATCAACTATGTACGCTGCAATACTTTATTGCTAACTGTATTGCAACTATTTAACTATTTATTATGTAGACAATGTATTCATTTATTTATTATCTCAGATGTCAGTGATACTTCTCAGGACGCAAATGTATACTCTGTAAATTCTGTCATTTCTCATCCTCATCTCTCATTAATCATCAGTGCCCATGATGATCGTCAAATTCGATTTTGGGATTCGTTAAGTGGCAAATGTGTTCATTCATTGACTGCTCATTTGGATTCAGTAACAACACTCAGTTTGAATTCGAAAGGAACATTATTACTCTCAGCAAGTAAGAATAATCTCATCATTTTTGTTTATCTGTTTTTGTGAAAAATAATGCTATCTCATACTTTAAATAGATTTTTTGAAGCTTCAATATACAGGTTCGTTCAATTGCCAACTATAGATAATTTATATATCACACTAAGTAATATTATATTGATACTACTATCTAGACAGAAATTTGTGAAGTAAATTTTCACTTCAATTTAAGATAATAATTGTGTCCATTAACAACTGTTGAGCATCGATCCTATCAATTCTTATATGAATAAACTGAACTGATCTTAATATCTCCTCTTAACACTAATTATTTTATTAATCAGTCTAACATTCAACATAATAATAATAATAATGATGATTTTAATGTGATATGATACGATTTACAACTATAAACAAATGTCAAATGATGATTAGTAGTGTTGTATTATGTTTCTATTTGATTGACTTCATTGATAACTTGAACGCTAACTTCGTAATTAACTATTATATTTATTTAATTAACTGATCAAATGAATGTAAGCAGAATTGATCTTTTGTAATAAAAGCTTCCTATTATATCCATTTAATTTCTTATTTCATTGACACAATATGTTCACAACATTGTCAATGAAATTCATTTTCATTATTATTTATAAATTTTCGTCACTTTATTTTATGATAGTTGACACACATCTTGTCAATTCATATGTTATTCTCAGGATCACATTGTAAAATTGTCTCTTGTTTACGTTGACTGTAAAATCGTCTCCCATCAAATATCTTTTTTTGTTTCACTCTACGATAGATGAACTTCATTTGCTTCGTCGATTTTGTCAAATTAATGTTTTAAAACATAAAAAATTCTGTTCTAAGGGTTTGTTTTTACTTGATTTTAAGATCAAATCAGGACATTTGTACAAATAAGTATAAATATATGCAATATGTAACTCAATTTTCAAGTATATTTGTCTGTCCAGACTAAAATAGATGAAACGAGTTTTGAACTGGCGGTTTGGTGTTTATGAACCTTATACGTATCTTGTATTCAACTAGATAAAACGTCTCAAAATCTAGTTGCAAATTCACTTTATTTCATTCGATAATGTCAAAAATATTGATTGATCTAATTTTCCAATTTGAACAGAGGTTCATAAGATAACATCGTCTTCAAAATCTGTTCTTGTTCATTTTGAATGTTAATGTTTTCTTTCCACTGGAATATCTCTACGACTGTTTTCAGCATATCACCTATATGTTATGGTATTTGTTAATGTGGTACACTTCTTTCTATGTCTAATTACAGTCCAATACTGGCTTGTTTCTGACAGTGTTTTTACATAAACATGTTGGTAAAGAGAAAGAAACAAACAATCAAGTTAAACTTTTCATATGTTGATACTGGTTTCAATGTTGAACTGATTGAATAGTTGTTAGCTTTAAATTACAGTTAATTTTAGTTTCATTAAAATTTAGATTTTAGTTATACAAGATCACATATCTAGATTTTATTAGAAATATGATTAGTGACACACAAATTTGATTTCGTTAATAAAAGAAAACGCTCTTCAGTTAATCTTACCATATTTTTCTTAAATATATAAACCAGAATATATTACAATATTCCATTACATTTTTCAAGGTCATGACTGTTCCATACGAATATGGGATATCAATACAAAATTGTGCATTCAAGAAATTACAGGTCATAGGAAAAAATTCGGTGAAGCTATCAATGCAGTTGCATTTCATCCAACACAACATTTTATGGCTAGTGCTGGATCTGATGCATTGGCCAAAGTATACGTTTAAAAACTTAACAAGAGGAAAAATGAAGGAGAGTGAATGTGGTTACAATCAGTACACTTAATGTTCGCTGATATTTTAACCATCAATTGTATATACCGACATTGTTTTTGTGTACATTTTTATTATTAGTAGTAAAATATTCTATTTAATTATTATTTATTCCATGTTTATTGATGTGAATTTTTCTTTACAGTAATGTGATCAATGATTATTTAACATAATCCTTTCTTTCTTTTTAATTATTTTTGCTTATCATCTTCTTCCCAATTTGTTATTTAATACTACCAACTAATCTTGTCACATATATTCTATCGAATGAATTGATGACTGTTCTTTTATGTCAATTATCTATAACATTTGCTATCTATTTACCGGTGGTTGAGTTTATTAAGTACGCATTCTCTTTTATACACTGAACAGGCTAACTACTTAACTTTTTATTTCAACCAATATGTACAATATTTTATTTCTGTAGTATTTTTATCATTTAACTTTAAATTTATTATTTTAATAAAATGCTCACTGCACACACTGTATGTTGTACCGGCAGTAGTTAGTTGGTTGATATGATCTACTGTAAGGTTTCTATTTCTAATGATTTTAAGTTTAAAGAAGAAGTTTTTTGTTCAGTGCATTTTCCTAATAAAACTGATTAGTTATAGAGACATTGGATTTCAGACACATATACTGCAACAATCTAATGCAGAATCACGATCAGATCTATCCTGTTATATGTCAGTAACAGCAATAAATTACGACACTTTAAGATTCCATGGAGTAAATATCCCTTGTTAGTATGCAATTCCAACTATCTAATCTATTGTAGGGAAGTTTCTTTTTTGTTTCAACAGGATCGTATAATAAGTAAATAATTCTATGAATGAACTAAAACATCCGACTTGGTAAGAAAACGTATGTTATGAAAAGAGGATAAGATAGTAACATAGTTAGACTACAATATAAATCTGGATGGCAGTTTATATGTGTGTGTCAATGCTATGATCTATGATTTCCTTCGCTAGGTTATAAACAGAGGACACAGGTAGAATATTAAAACAAAAGTATTGTAATTGCTTTTTCTTTATACAGTTTAACATGCTAAATGTCTACCTTAAAGACCGAGGAAAATCATGCCGGTTATATATACCTTATCGACTTTTTTGTGAACACGAAGATAACATAAGAATGTTGTATAGTAGTTTTTATTGGAAATAAGGCGTGTTTCTTAAAAATAAACCCCATTTAAATTTCGATAGGCTGCGTACTCCAAGATAAAAATATACAAAGATATAGACAAAACTATTGTTTAATAATTAGATGCATCTTATTAAATCATTACAAGTTCATTCATGTATCCAATTCGAAGTCACCTTTCCTGTGTATGCTAAGAAACGCTGATACCACCCAGCTCCTCAGGCCTAATTCAAGCAAGTTGCATTTTGAACATGTGACTAAATGTGCTGAGCTTGAATTGTTAGTCAGCGATAATGTACAATCGATAGCCAAATACCATGTAAGGAAAATATAACCTGAAATATTACACTAATGTAACATGCATAAACTACACACCCGCATCACACTCGATCATAATTCTATATTTTTAATTATTTACTAAAACTCGTTATTTCTTCATAATATATGGATGGACTGATGAAATTAAATTCAAGCTTCTCAAATGATTAAATATCACAAGTAAGCTAAAACTGCTAAGAATAGTGGTCATAGATCTTACAACACTTAGACTTCTCTAGTTATTCCATAGAGCTAAAATGAGGAAAGATGCCCTAATCAATGTAAGCCTAGGGATCAACGATAAAACAGCCTATTTAGAAACCAGCTTACAATTTTAATCATTAGCTACATTTGTTGCCAATATGTAGGAAGTATTTAAACTAACACCAACGTGATGTGCTTTTTAGGATTTCGCAATACTTGAAAATATTCATCCCCCCCCCCAAATGCCCTGGTACGCCCGAGAGTGGTAACAGTCCACTCTCACATAGCCTCTTCAAGGGAAGTCCTACCCACTGTCTTCTCGTGGCGTTATTGTTGTTTACGAAATTCAGAGGACGAAAAGCGAATGTCCGGCGCTTTAACCGGGTTTGTGGACATGGACAGTCCACCTATGAGAGTTGGAAAACCCTGACTCCAAACCAACGGTGCACATGGACTCCAGGATTTTCAAGCAACAAATGGCGTATGAACCAATCGTTGGTCACCGGCTACCATGGGACTGCATCTGCTTCCGATGCTCCACTGCCTTGTGGACCAGACCTTCCAGTAGAAGGCTCCGGGTGTGGCTCCTTAAGAAAACCACCTGCTTCGGTTTGGCCACCCGGGCAGTGTCACAGCCCTTACACATGTCAAATGAGATCTGTGTGGCGCATATGTATTTGGTGCCTACTTGTACCAATATCTATTTGTTGAAATCAATATTCAGGACCAGCAATTCATCACTGAACGCGACTAGCTTACTTACCAGTCGTCCAGTTGTATAAGATCATCAAATACCATAACATTTTAGTTACTATCTCCTAATATTGTATAGTGAATAAGTCCTGGCTACTGAACACTCGTTAACAGAGGCATTCTTGACAACAGTAATTCCATATTTATTGTATTCAAAATGATGATTGTATGGATAAATGTCCTCTGTTAAACATAATTACGAATGAAATATCAGCTGGTCTACATCATATGAATAAAGACACTGGAACAAAATACACCACTTACAAATACAAACACGTGGCAGTATAATGCAGTGAAAGTCACAATGACCTAGATAAGGTTGGAAGGACTGCATAAAATGACCTAGTTAAATAGCATGTGAGGAAGATTTTAATACATAACTTAAGATTGCAACGATAGACTGTTGCCTTTTAAATTGTGCTTATGTAATGAGACTATTGAATAAAGGGTAAGGACACTCAGGAACACGGAGAGTTAAGGTCAGTCTGATATTTTCAAAAATGCATGAATCAATAATGGTCGCGATTCCAGAAACAAGGAGGATAGTCAACTGTTTTCTCCTCGTTTCAAGCTTCTTACATTTTATTTGCTATATTAAATAACTACCGTTTAGTAAGTCAATTTGTTTTACGTTGGAGTTCTTAATCAGCAAGTTTGAATCTCATACGTTTTTTCACAAACCTTAAGCAGAATGGTGCTTTCACGAAACCATTTGATTAAGGAACAGCTGTTATTCGTTAAACTACCTCTGTATGCTAAGACAGCGTTATTAACAACATTCTCTTGTGAACAACTGGACAAGTATTAAGGCTAGCATTTGTACTCTTAGTTCGTTCTCACATATTTCGAGGGTATGATTGACTTCCTTAAGTAGAGAATAAGTATCCTAGGGAAAGAATCAATACAGCTCTGTTCTTGCTTTGTGAAGAAACTCAGTAATTAATATAGAGAACTAACGAGCCTGATGAGAATCACAGTTTCACGACGACTCCTTGTGCATCCATCCCAAGGTACGTAGACGTTTGCCAGGTCTATATACCCGTCAACTTATTAACATATCTTCATCGAAAAATCGCCCATTCGCAACGTCAGGGAAAATTCGGGTGACATGATCACACGGACGGAACCATATTCTACGCCGCTTTGAACATTATTACTAGCGATGAGTATATTTTGTCTGAATAACCATCATTATGTCGCTGATCGTACACAGTTATTAACTACGATCTTTATGAACCAATCACCCCAGTAACCAACACAATCACATTGTCTATTATCGTCACATTACTAGTGTTGTCATAGAATCAACTAACCAGTACACAATACTACTGCAACACGGTCTACTAACGATACCAGTATGGAACGAGACAATTATATACTAGTTTTCTATCAGTTAGTGTATAATTAGATCATATTGACTTGTTAGCTAACTTTTTTGTCAGTATTGGCACTAACACCAGCGTATTTCATGAAAAATAGTTGAGTCCCACTAAATGGAATGGTACGGGGATGTACTGGATCAGTAAAATCTCTCAACATAGCTTTCTAACCACCACTACAACGCGGTGTGGAATCTCCGAAATCGAAACGAGGATGTTAATCACGATACAATATTTTGTATGAATTTTTAAAAAGGAAAACCCGTCCCAAACAAAGAATGCTACGAAGATCCACGAAACGTTGTCTAGCTAGGCTATATTCAGTTTCCCTAAAGAATAAGCTAGCTGGCAAGTCTGGAAGAGGTTTAGAAATCTTAAGGATCAGTTTTCATGTCCAATTATCAGATTGTAGTTTTAGTATTTGGCCTGTTGATTGAACTACTCATGCCTGTAGTATTTTGAAACAATATGCACTTTTGTAACAAATTGTGACAAGGCACGAGCGATACCAGGAAATCACTCACATAATCAGTACTGCATTTATTTACGGATTGGTTTAACACTTACAAGATAGTTTGTATCAAGATTTGTCATCTATAATCTATTTAGAGTACGTAGCAACTAATAGTGAATTGCAATGTCTGTCGTATGATCGAACCATTAATTACAAGCTTTAATAATTGTTACACACTAACATACCTAAATAAATGTACCACGTTTATTGTCATAACGAGTCCTAATGTAGAATCCTAACGTCAAACAGAGCATATGTTACCCACCACGTACTGCTACAATACAGAAAATGTACTAAGTGTAGGAACATAGCTACGTCGTTGCTGACTGACTGACTGACTGACCGACATAGCTTAGGTCATCGTTCAATGCACTGCAAGTTTCATTAGTATATTCACTGATGAACCGTTACCAATAAGCAAGGGAGGTGATAGTTAACCTACATTTTGAACACAAAGTGCACAGTCCAGGACGAGAAATGTGATTAGCCCGTTCATTGTAAAACCACGACCCTAAGACCATTGGGAACTTACTGAAGTGAAACACAATTCAACGGCCAAAAGCATCAAGCAGCCGATAACATGACATGTTAACAACACAGCCTCACCGTGAATTACAGACATTTGCATTTTCGTTCTACTAGGAAGCTCTTCTCATGAAATGTTTTATGAGTATTTAGACGTCACTGAATTTGACGGCTCTTAGTTTTCATGGGGAAAAGTTTGGTGTGTAAGCACGGGTTGAACCCAAACAAAGTTTATCATCCGTAATTAAAACCCCTTACCGTGCCATAATAGCTGAGAAAGTGGAATTTTACAAAAGTGCTTAATGCTTCACAAACGTGATTTTCGATCGACCGGCTTCCCCAACATCCCACAAGAACAGTGACCAACTAGAATCTTGAGCATAGTTGTATCTAAGGTCCGAAATCCGTTTCTCGAATAACTCAATTCTGCCTTGTTGTGACAGCAGTTCTAATTGATTATACATGTTAAGTCGTATTCATTAGTATGTCTAGGATTCTTGACATTGATGATCGAGAAAGCAATACATTTGTTACGGGAATGGCTTGTTTAGGTGTACAATAGTACTGTATTAGTTGCCATAAAAGCTAAGTAGTATTAATTATGCTGTCCCACTATGTTTTGTTTAATAACGCGATTTAGAGCAACCAAAAAATGACATCAAGTCCATTTTGACGAGTGAAACGTACGCACAAATTACCAAGGAGATATTACAGTATGTGTCATGGTTGTAAGACGAAGAAATGCTAGCTAACATATACCAGGTGTCGCTATGCAGAATCGTTAACATACCATAACAACCGTCAAGGACTAACAAATACGATAAACGGGACCAACCAAACCTAGAAATCCGGAGTTAAATTATAGTTGCTGAAGCGTTTTCGGAAACAATGCACATAAGTCTGAGACAAATGAAGTAAGCCATCTTAATCGCAACTGAGTTTAGAAAATAAAACAACAGATGACCCTTTTTCAAAAATTGTATACAAGTGGATCTAGCAAGCAAACGACTTGCAAGTCAGCGCGGTCTCAATCACATTACTTTGATGTGCCTACCGTTACAAGCCTAAGATGTCTAGTAATTAGTCTAAGGGTTGTGTATCGTTACAGAAACCGAACTCAATGCGATGCTAAATTTCCTTAGTCCCACTAACTTACATAAGACAACGTAGTAACATTTCATTTTGAAAGTCTGTTGAACCAGTGGATGTAATTATCGATCAGTCGCATACCGTAGATGTGACATCACTTTGTCCTTACCAATAAATTTAACACGTGGACACAAACAACCGGCTTGAATATGATACGTGGAAAGTACACAGCCTCGAGTTTTAAATAGTGAAATCTAATTCTTGTAACTGCATCAAGATATTCCCAGAGAAATACTAATCAACAACAGTATACTTATATTTCTGGAAATTACCCTCAGCAATAACCAAGTATATGTATATTCCTATTCGGCTAAATCGGCTTATAAAATTTAATTACAAGTGAGTTTTAGACCTTAGCACGTCTAAAATGTCTTTTATTTCATGTTCTTACATCAAAGTTATGAAGTAATCGACTACACTCGGCGAACATACAAGATTCTGTAGGTAATATTGAACAGAATCGTGTTTCTCGGCCATAAGCGCTCTGCATAAATTTTCCAACAAAAGTATGAACAATTGATTATATTTGACAGATCCATATACCAAGTGGTTAACTCAGTTTTCAAGGAATACAAAGCAAAATGATTTCATAATTTTTTTTTCAAACTGAAATAAAATATGCGCAAAACCTCCTTTATGAGGTTGTAGATCAAAGCATTACATGTTAACTCGAACAAAGTATTACATGCTCAGATTCTCAGTATGAAGAATAGCTTCAAACAACATGAAGTATCTGTCAAATCAAGGACAGATATTAGTAAAACGTCAAGTTTTAGAGTATATAATAGTTAAAGATGATAAACAATGACTACCTAAATGAATATAACCATGACAGTATGAGAACCAGCATATTAAGAGAACTTGGCAATAATTTGAAGAAAAAAAAGGATTAAAGTGGTAAAACGAGAAACTGCACTACTGGTGTGCACTTTCATGACTCAATAAATTATCCCTAAAAGCAACTCTGGCCAAGTAAGCAAACACCAGCAATCTTTAAGTCTACTTCTTAGGCTTTCTCTTCCGTATCTTTCTTCACGTTGTCTACAAAGCATACTAGTGAGCAATGAAAACTAACTTACCATCTCTTTCAGGATCTGACGTCCAAAGAGTTAAATTATCTCGCAATAGTTGCATTATCAAGGTGGAATCTTTGTAGCTTTCTTCTGACAAATGTTCTAGCCTAGAGATTGCATCATCAAATGCTGTTTGTGCAAGACGACATGCTTCGTCTGGATCGTTCATAATTTCGTAGAAATAAACTGAGTAATTGAGAGCTAAGCCCAACCTGATTGGATGGGTCGGGAACAACTGAGTTGCGGCAATTTCAGAAGCTTCTTTGTAGGCCTTGTTACTTTCTTCTGCAGCTTTTTGACGTTGTGGGTCGACTGAGAATTCCGCCATGTAACGGAAATAATCGCCTTTCCTGAAAAAACAAAACATCACGAACACACGCGATTTACATTTTAAGATAAAAGACCTTAGAGTGTGACTTTGTTGCGCTTTCGCTCAACAGCCTTCCGTGTCTAGTAGCAGGGGATCACCAAAACCTCCAGGCAGGAACCTAGGTATATTAACAATAAAAGAGGGAAAAGAAATTGGTAAATCATAGTATGATTCTATCTTTAAGAGTATATCCAGTTGCCTCTTTAAGGACTCCAGGGAAGTCGCTTGGTCTAGATCGGTGGGCAGCGAATTCCAGCACTTGACAACTCCTAAGCAGTAGAAGTTGTGTCTACAGTCCGTTCTGCTATGTTGTGTCTCCAGTTTCTGGGTGTTACCCCTTAGGTTAGTGTTGGGACTAAACTTTAGTAGGTGTTTAAGAGAATGTCTAGAAGTGTTAAGGATACTGTAAACCATTAGAAGGTCACCTTAAAGACGTCTATACTCTAATGGGTAGAGGTTAAGTGATAAAAATCTGGTTAATATAATCATCAAAACCATGTATTGAAGTAAATGTACAAATGAGCTGTGTTTTTAGTATACATGAACTGTGGCTACCAGTAGGATGCAAGATGTGCATTTCGTCTTATTTAAGATTTAATTACGGAATGTACTTAAATCTCGGTGTCGTTATTCACATTAAGACATAAACCTAGGATCTTTCATTTAAATGAGAACGCGTTATCTACTAAGCTACTGAATCCAGATAGTCACTAGCTTGTTCATTTGGTACGATGTTTATATTATTAATAGTAATAATAATAATTAGTATTTTTCAGCTTAAATTGTTAACTAGCAATTGTAATTTGTTTGAAAACGATCTTTATTTTTCAATTATTTTGCTCATGCACCTTGTAGCATTAGTGTTCTTTCCCTGACTTATATCGACATTAGTGTATTCTTCACTACTTATTCGATTGTGATTTGTGTTGTTTATCACTAACACCTGTTGACCGTTTGTAATTACACAGTATAAAATGATCAGTACGTTACGTTTGTACATTCATGATATGAATGTAAGATAATGTAAAAATCAATTGAGATTACTAATTCTTGTTGATATGTCTTGTTGTTTGAATGCTACTTCGTTATATTTGGTCGTCGCTAATTATTGTGTCAGAAACGCTTACTCGAAACAAAGGACCTCTGCAATTACCACGATGCGAAAGTAAGAACACAAATACTGGTATAAGTGGAGATTTATTAACCCCAAAACACAACAACGACGACCCTAGTCGAAAATACACTCATTTATGTATTAATTGTACACCCATTTTGATTAATAATTGGGATGAAATCACAGACTGAGCATAGTTTATGGCAACTGAATACAAGAATATTGTATATTATACAGAATCAAATATCATACGAGAAAATGAAACTGAATAGTAAAGTGAATAATCATCACAATGAATCAAAACAGAAGTAATATTGAACAAAACTCATAATGAGTAAATCAATCGAAATTTGACTTTTCTTCTCATCATATCAACTTCCCTTCTTTTTTAATTGATACGTTTTCTGTGGAGAGCCTATTTGAAAAGATTGTTCTACTTTATCGTACTTGCTTGGATCTTGGCCAACCACGTGGTCGTGTTCCAGTGGGTTTTTCAGCTTCAGCGACCTCTTCCTCAATCAAAAAAAACTGTTCCTTATTACATCAGGAGATGCATCAATTGCCTCGTTAAATCTTTGGGTGCGATTCGGGATTTGATTGTTCGAGCATGTGTTCCTTCAATGCACCTATGATCTTTAATTGAGATTTAATGAACACATCTTCATTAAACTGAAACATTGATTTTACTTCTGCAACTGAAATTGTCATGTTCATACACCAGTAACCGCATCGTTTGTTGCAACAGCGACTTGATAAATAAAAGCAGAAGTATGTTTATAACTGAGGAGACAGGATTTGGGGTACGTTAAACTGGCAATCGAGTTATAACTGGAACCAGACAGTTATGTTGGTAACTGAAACTTGTAAATTGAATACGTCGGCGATTGTTGTGGTTTTCATTTTTCCAAAATTTCCGTCGCCAAAATATTATTGCTTTGATCTTTTCAAAATCCCGTCGCCACTGTCAAAGAACAACCATGACAAGGATCACACGCAGCCATCGTATTCTTCGCATCAAACATTTGCTGCGTCAGTCCAGACACAGTTAATGAGCGATACTGTTGACTGCCACGACTTGTTAGTGGAGCAAATCCTGGCATGAAGAAATGCAGTCGTGGGAACGGGACCATATTCACTGCCAGTTTCCGTAGATCAGCATTCAGTTGTTCAGGGAATCTGAGACAGGTGGTCACTCCAGACATGGTTGCACTGACCAAGTGATTTATATCTCCATAAGTGGGGTTGGTAAATTTGAGTGTTCTGAAACATATGTCATACAGTGCTTCGTTGTCGATGCAGATAGTTTCATCAGTGTTCTCAACAAGTTGATGTACAGAGAGTGTAGCATTGTACGGTTCGACAACAGCATCGGAGACTTTGGGCGATGGGACTACAGAAAATGTATTTATAATGCTGTCAGAATATTCTTCTCAAATCTTTGAAATTGACAGCGTCTTCATAGTTCATTATCATCTATGGATATAACTAGTCGGACTTATGCGTCTAATTTGATGAATTCATTATTTAGACTGTATAAATTTAACTTGATCGATATAATTCTTTTGAATGGTAACTGTTTAACGGCTTTCAGGTAAGCTGACCAATTGATCAACTATGTACGCTGCAATACTTTATTGCTAACTGTATTGCAACTATTTAACTATTTATTATGTAGACAATGTATTCATTTATTTATTATCTCAGATGTCAGTGATACTTCTCAGGACGCAAATGTATACTCTGTAAATTCTGTCATTTCTCATCCTCATCTCTCATTAATCATCAGTGCCCATGATGATCGTCAAATTCGATTTTGGGATTCGTTAAGTGGCAAATGTGTTCATTCATTGACTGCTCATTTGGATTCAGTAACAACACTCAGTTTGAATTCGAAAGGAACATTATTACTCTCAGCAAGTAAGAATAATCTCATCATTTTTGTTTATCTGTTTTTGTGAAAAATAATGGCATCTCATACTTTTTTGAAGCTTCAATATACAGGTTCGTTCAATTGCCAACTATAGATAATTTATATATCACACTAAGTAATATTATATTGATACTACTATCTAGACAGAAATTTGTGAAGTAAATTTTCACTTCAATTTAAGATAATAATTGTGTCCATTAACAACTGTTGAGCATCGATCCTATCAATTCTTATATGAATAAACTGAACTGATCTTAATATCTCCTCTTAACACTAATTATTTTATTAATCAGTCTAACATTCAACATAATAATAATAATAATGATGATTTTAATGTGATATGATACGATTTACAACTATAAACAAATGTCAAATGATGATTAGTAGTGTTGTACTATGTTTCTATTTGATTGACTTCATTGATAACTTGAACGCTAACTTCGTAATTAACTATTATATTTATTTAATTAACTGATCAAATGAATGTAAGCAGAATTGATCTTTTGTAATAAAAGCTTCCTATTATATCCATTTAATTTCTTATTTCATTGACACAATATGTTCACAACATTGTCAATGAAATTCATTTTCATTATTATTTATAAATTTTCGTAACTTTATTTTATGATAGTTGACACACATCTTGTCAATTCATATGTTATTCTCAGGATCACATTGTAAAATTGTCTCTTGTTTACGTTGACTGTAAAATCGTCTCCCATCAAATATCTTTTTTTGTTTCACTCTACGATAGATGAACTTCATTTGCTTCGTCGATTTTGTCAAATTAATGTTTTAAAACATAAAAAATTCTGTTCTAAGGGTTTGTTTTTACTTGATTTTAAGATCAAATCAGGACATTTGTACAAATAAGTATAAATATATGCAATATGTAACTCAATTTTCAAGTATATTTGTCTGTCCAGACTAAAATAGATGAAACGAGTTTTGAACTGGCGGTTTGGTGTTTATGAACCTTATACGTATCTTTTATTCAACTAGATAAAACGTCTCAAAATCTAGTTGCAAATTCACTTTATTTCATTCGATAATGTCAAAAATATTGATTGATCTAATTTTCCAATTTGAACAGAGGTTCATAAGATAACATCGTCTTCAAAATCTGTTCTTGTTCATTTTGAATGTGAATGTTTTCTTTCCACTGGAATATCTCTACGACTGTTTTCAGCATATCACCTATATGTTATGGTATTTGTTAATGTGGTACACTTCTTTGTATATCTACCTACAGTCTAATACTGACTTGTTTCTGACAGTGTTTACATAAACATGTTGGTAAAGAGAAAGAAACAAACAATCAAGTTAAACTTTTCATATGTTGATACTGGTTTCAATGTCGAACTGATTGAATAGTTGTCAGCTTTAAATTACAGTTAATTTTAGTTTCATTAAAATTTAGATTTTAGTTATACAAGATCACATATCTAGATTTTATTAGAAATATGATTAGTTACACACAAATTTGATTTCGTTAATAAAAGAAAACGCTCTTCAGTTAATCTTATCATATTTTTCTTAAATATATAAACCAGAATATATTACAATATTCCATTACATTTTTCAAGGTCATGACTGTTCCATACGAATATGGGATATCAATACAAAATTGTGCATTCAAGAAATTACAGGTCATAGGAAAAAATTCGGTGAAGCTATCAATGCAGTTGCATTTCATCCAACACAACATTTTATTCTGGTTGAGATCATGAATCAATTGATGTTAGACCACCGTTGGAAACCTGGAAGCACTGGACGGCCGTTTCGTCCTAGTATGGGACTCCTCAGCAGTGCGCATCCACGATCCCGCGAGCGGGATTCGAACCCAGGACCTACTGGCTTCGCGCCTGAGCACTTAACCATTAGACCACTGAGCCGGCATCCAATGGTGTTAGT